CTTTGATTTATCATATATTTTATGGCTTTGCAGCACAATGCTAATTACATATTGTGAAAATGACATAGGGTGAAAATTACATGTTGAAATTATTTACTAATTCATGGGCTATTTTTGCTTCTGTTAAATCCTAATTTATAACATTTAGCTTAGTACAGATCTGACCACATTCTGTCTTGTAGGTAATGAAAGAGTAGAAAACTAACAAGATGGCTGCTGCATTGTTCAGGTTTGTAATTCTGGCTAAACTGATCTTGTGACTAACATGCTCGCCTCCCTGGGCATTCTTTCCTTACAACTTATTCTTTTACCCTAGAGGTCTTGAAAGGTCATAGACTGAACCTCAGGAAAATGGGCAAGCCCTCCTAAATTCCCTGATTGTTATCACTCTCCTGTTTCCATTTTTGTATAAAATCCCAAAACCTTTACCCCGAGGCAGGTTCACAGTCTCTAAGGCATTAGCCTGCTGTGACTTCCTTTGCCTGGCAAAGCAATAAAGCTGTTCTTTTTTAATCCTCCCACAACTCTGCCTCCAACTCTCAATTCCGCTATGGGGGTATAGAGGCTGATTTTTCAGCAACAGTAATGATGCCTAAGCATTTACTTATTGAAAAACAGATTTTACCATAAAAATAATTTTCTTTGTATTCTAATTAAGGCAACTATATTGATTCTTTTAAATTTTGTATGTAAGTAAGTCATATTATCTATATGTCCATTTCAGGATAATAAAGAGTATGTTAGGAAACACTTTATGAAAGGGGGTGCTTGGGCTGTTGGGCTGAGATCTCCCAGGATGGGGAGAGTGAAGCTCAGGAACAGAGGCCAGCCTGCCCCTCCCCAACTGAAAATCAATCAATATGGCCTGGGAGTCCTGGATTATTTTACATTCTTGACATGGTATACCCCACCCAATGCCTTTGAAGAACACAGATCCAGAAATGTTGCCATGTAGCCAGCACTTTAGAAGCCAATTTAGACTTCATTTTGGGCAGGTAGAACACTGCATAAAAAACACAGGATGGGGGAGGGTATAGCTCAGTGGTAGAGTGCATGCTTAGCATGCGCGAGGTCCTAGGTTTGATCCCCAGTACCTCTATTAGAAAAACAAATTTTAAAAAATCTAATTGCCTGCCCCCCACAAAAGGACGATTTTAAAACAATACAAAGCGAATACTGACTAAGACCAACTTAGAAGCTTTTGAAAATAACCAGCCGCTAGCATAGCATTTGGCACACCAGAGGCACTCATCAAATGTGTGATGTGTGTCATAGGATTCTGGATACAATCCAGGTTCCACCACTGAGTAGACAAGAGACTTTGGACAATTTAATGGCCTTTTAGAGTCTTAGTTTCCTCATCTGTAAAATGGGAAAGATATTAGTATCTTCCTTGTGAGAATGAAATGAGACAATGAACACAAAGTAGCATAGATTAAGTATTGAAAATATTAGCCCTTATTATAATCTACTTCATTTAGAAAATAAAATATAAAAGCCTAGATGGCAAATCACATTGTGAGAGAAGAAGCAGGAGGCTCACAAACTCCGTGCCTGCAGATGGAAACAGGAGGGGAGTGGGGCTCTAAAGCCAACAGAGCAGGTTGGGGCAAATGTAGTATGTACTTAATAAATATTTGTGGAATGAATGAACTAGAGGGAAGTAAGGTACTAGATATCACCTGCCCTCCTCCTGAGACCAAGCCCTGAGCAACATTTCCTGGAAAAACAGGAAGTCTGGATGGGGCAGATTCTGGCTTCATGATGATGGTTCAATTCGATTCAATTTGGCACCTACCCACTCTGTGTCAGGCCTTCTACTTAGCATGAGTAAGACATTCCTTCGTACTCCAACCTCCCCGCCATAAACAAACACAGCCCAACCTTGTCGTGGGTCCAAACTGGAAGAGAAAAGGTAAAATTGTCATGCAGATGACATGATACTATATAGAGAGAACCCTAAAGACTCCACACAAAAACTATTAGAGCTGATAAATGAATTCAGCAAGGTAGCAGGATATAAGATTAACATATAGAAATCTCTTGCATTTCTTTACACTAACAATGAAATATCAGAAAAGGAAAGCAAAAAAAAAAAAACCCTTTTAAAATTGCATCAAGGAGAGACGGTATAGCTCAGTGGTAGAGTGCATGCCTAGCATGCACAAGGTCCTGGGTTCAATCCCCAGTACCTCCATTTAAATAAATAAATAAACAAACCTAATTACCTTCCCCCCAATTGTTTTTAAAAAATTAAAAATTAAAAAAAAAATCACATCAAAAAAATAAAATACTTAGAATAAACTTGACCAAGGAGATGAAAGACTTACATGCTAAGAACTTAAAACATTAATAAAGGAAATTAAAAATAACTTAAAGAAATGGAAAGATATTCCATGCTCTTGGATTGGAAAAATTAATACTGTTAAAATGGTTATTACCCAAAGCAATCTACTGATTTAATGTGACCCCTATCAAATTACCCAGGACATTTTTTACAGCACTAGAACAAATAATCCTAAAATTTATATGGAATCACAAAAGACCCAGAATTGCCAAAGCCATACAGAAGAAAAAGAATGAAGCTAGAGGCATAACCCTCCCAGACTTCAGACAATTTTACAAAGCTATGGTAATCAAAATAGCATGGTATTGGCACAAACAGACATGTGGATCAACGAGACAGAACAGAGGGCCAAGAAATAAACCCACACACCTACAGTCTATTACTCTTTGACAAAGGAGGCAAGAATATACAATGGGGAAAACACAATCTCTTTGGGAAGTAGTGTTGGGAAAGCTGGACAGCTGCATGTAAGTCAGTGAAGATAGAACACTCCCTCACACCATACACAAAAATAAACTCAAAGTGGTTTAAAGGCTTAAACATAAGACAGGACACCATAAAACTAGAAGAGAACATAGACAAAACATTCTCAGGCATAAATTGTAGCAATGTTCTCCTGGTCAGTCTCCCAAGGCCTTAGAAATAAAAACAAAAATAAACAAATAGGACCTAATTAAACTTACAGGCTTTTGCACAGCAACATAACATAAACGAAAGGAAAAGACAACCTATGGACTGGGAGAAAGTATTTGCAAATTATGCGACTGACATGGGCTTGACTTCCAGAGTATACAAACAGCTCATACAACTCAATAATAAAAAAACAAACAGCCCAATCAAAAAATGGGCAGAAGACCTACAAAGGCATTTCTCCAAAGAAGACATCCAGATAGCCAATAGGCACATGAAAAAATATTCATAAAATATTGCTAATTATTAGAGAAATGCAAATCAAAACTACAATGAGGGTCACCTCACCCCAGTCAGAATGTCCATCATTAAAAAATCTACAAACAGTAAGTACTGGAGAGGGTGTGTGGAAAAGGGAACCCTCCAACACTGTTGGTGGGAATGTAATTTGGTGCAGCCATTATGGAAAACAGCATGGAGATTCCTTAAGACACTAAAAATAGACTTACCATATGATCCAGCAACCCCAAGCCTGGGCATATATCCAGAGAAAAGTCTAATTTGGAAAGATACATGCACCCCGGTGTTCATAGCAGCACTGTTTACAATAGCCAAGACCTGGAAACAACCTAAATGTCCATCAACAGATGATTTAGATAAAGATATGGTGTATATATACAATGGAACTACCAGCTATAAAAAAGAATGAAATAATGCCATTTGCGGCAACATGGATGGACCTAGAGATTATCATACTTAGAGAAGTAAGTCAGACAAAGACAAATATCATATGATATCACTTATATGTGGAATCTAAAAATAGGAACGTATTTACAAAACAGGAATAGACTCACAGACATAGGAAACAAACTTACAATTACCAAAGGGGGAAGACTGGGGGTGCAGAGCATAAATTAGGAGTTTGGGATTAGCAGATACAAACTACTATATAGAAAATAGATAAACAACAGGGTCCTACTGTGTAGCACAGGGAACTATATTCAATATCTTTTAATAATCTATAATGAAAAAGAATTTGAAAAAGAATATATATATGTATAACTGAATCCCTATGCTGTACACCAGAAACTAGCACAACATTGTAAATCAAATATACTTCAATTTAAAAAAAAAAAGACAAACATGCAGTTCTCAAGTGTCTACTATGTACCAGGCGCTGTGCTTACCTCACTGATTTCAGTAATGACCTTGTGACGTGGTGGCATTGCATCCATTTTACAGATGAAGAAATAGGCTCAGGGAGCTGGAGTCAGTCAGGTCATAATTGTGTATGTCACTTCCAATAAATCATATGTGATGTGGCCATGAGGCAACACCATGCAGAACCCCCTTCTCACTCACATCTGCTGAGGATACAGCATTGTACAACACTTTACAGTCTCTGAACTGCTTTACATAACCTCCTTGTCCTGTGAGAAAGGAAAAACAGTTCCTTCTCATCTGCATCTGATGATGAAACAAGGGAGGTCTCAAGAGGCACCATCCTTCTGCCCAGGGCTCATCCTTCCTGCACTTCGCTGATTAATTCTCCCTTCCCCTTCTCTTCCGAGAAGCCTTCCAGGATAATCCCACCATAAAGGGTCCCTCCGTGCACATCTGCTACCATTTTTGTCTTTATCTGTAACCGTCTGTGCGTCTGACTTCCCTGCCTTATGAGCCTCTTTGGGGCAAAGACTGTCTTAATCATCTCTTAGTATTTTGTCCTCAGTATTTGGCACACTGAACTTCTTTTATCAATATCACCTTTATTAGCATTGCTTTAACATTTTTTCCCAAGAAAGTTTTGTGCCTGCTGTGGTTGCCATCCTCTGGGATTTAGGAGCCTCTGCCCAACCCTCCATTCAGATCTTTCATCTCGATTCTTCCTAAGGTTGTCATCCATACATGCCTTCCGGAATTTCATAGGGTATATAATCACCAATAGCCTGGGGGAAGCCAGTCGCCCTTTACAAGTATGGTTGCAGTTGCCTCACTTCCTGTGTCATGTGACTCGCCCATAGTTATCACATGATCCATCCACCCCATTATGCCGGAATTAACGCGTAGGGCTAATCTGGTGCGTATAGCTACCGCAGGTGCCTCCAAACCTGCTTTTATTTAGTTGATCCTGTATCCCTCCGAAATTTGGAACCGTGCAGTCTTCCCATCTGGTGATGGAGCTTTCAAGTCCTTCCAGAGAGGTGAGTGGGCCGCGGCTCCCAGTTGGTCTTGTCATGCTATTTCTGGAATCCTAGCCATTCAGGCTCTGGAATTCAATGAATGACAGACTCTCCTTGAACCCAGGCCATCTCGGCTCTATGATGAAGGGACAGATGGAAGGAAAGAGGGGTTAAAGGAGAAATAGGTGGGAAGAGGTGTGGAGGAGGGTGCTGGTTGGGGTGGGCAAAGAGCTGTCACTAGCAGAGGGCTTGGAGGGAGGGCTGGACCTCTGTGTCTGTGGGTTTTGGTCCATTCTGTTAAAGGTGGGAGACTCAGCTGGGTGCCCACAGGGAGCCCAGACCTGCCCAGGAGAGTAGATGAGGGGTGGAGAGGGGCTTGCCTTCCAGTCACTCCTCATTCTGTTCTCAGGGGCGTCCGAAGTGCCAGGGCAGAGTGGGCATCATGGCTGTCTGCCTCATGGGATTGCTTCTATTTCAGGCAGTATCGTGGGCCTCAGGTAAGTCAAGGAGGAAGGAAGGAGCCCCGAGGCCCCCTTCTGCCTTATGGTCCTTTGATAGTCTTTGGAGTACTGGTGGTGGATTTCAGTAGATGCTCAATAAACCGTTTTGAGTGACTGAGATCACCTGTAGAGTAGGGGTACAGCAAAGGGATTTTTGAAACCACTGTTCAGTCTTTCCTTCCAACTAGTGTGTCCCTTCTCCCCCTCTTCACCCTCCAGCCCTTGCCTCTCTTGTGCTCCCTCCCTCCCAGGTGCCCGCCCCTGCATCCCTAAAAGCTTTGGCTACAGCTCAGTGGTCTGTGTTTGCAATGCCACATACTGTGATTCTCTTGACCCCCTGACCCTGCCTGACCCTGGCACCTTCAGCCGCTTTGAGAGCACACGCAGCGGGCGCCGAATGGAGCTGAGTCTGGGGAACTTTCAGGCCAACCGCACGGGCACAGGTAACCACTACACACCTCACCCCCAAACCCCTGGAGTTAAGTCATGCCAACGATCACCACGGAGTTTCTCTCCTGTGCACTGACAACCTTTATTCCCTGCGGATGTCCTCAGGGCTGCTGCTGACCCTGCAGCCAGATCAGAAGTTCCAGAAAGTGAAAGGATTTGGAGGGGCCATGACAGACGCTGCTGCTCTCAACATCCTTGCCCTGTCACCGCCAGCCCGGAATTTGCTGCTCAAATCATACTTCTCGGAAGAAGGTGAGAAGGGGGACAAGACAACACAGTGCAACTTTGACCTTTCCTTTGATCCTGCTGCCCACCCGCCCCTGACATTTGGGTCCCCTCTTTTTTTTTTTTAAGTTTTATTGGGCACAGCCATGCTTTTTCTTTTTTCCTTTTTTTTGAGGGGGGGTGGTAATTGTTTTTTTTAATGGAGGTACTGGGGATTGAATCCAGGACCTCATGCATGCTGGGCATGCACTCTGCATGCAATGTCCCGTGGGGAAAAAAAAGATTATCCTGCCTACCTCCTACTGAGTGCCTGGGGACTCTCAGGCTCTGAAGGCCTGTTCTTTACCCGAGCCCATGTTCTCTTTTGCCCTGACTTAGACATAATTTATGATTGGCATGTGGTAGGCCAGGCCCCACGTCCTCCTGTTGACTCAGATGCACATATCTTGGTCTTCTTTTTTCTGCAGGAATTGAATACAACATCATCCGGGTCCCCATGGCCAGCTGTGACTTCTCCATCCGCGTCTACACCTATGCTGACGCCCCTGATGACTTCCAGTTGCTCAACTTCAGCCTCCCAGAGGAAGATGTCAAACTCAAGGTGGGCACTCTGGCTGCCTCAGGCTCTGGTGGCATTGATGCCAGGTGGTTGAGAAGCCTCAGGCGAAAGCAGTCTGCAGAGAAACACAGAACCTGCCCCCTGCTCTCTCTGTTCTGTCCTGGGGGTGGGAGGGAGGGCAGGGGCTGATGGCTAGGCCTCATGCACTGGTTGGGCCAGTCTGTTTATGTTCCAACTCTGAGTGTCTCTCTCCTCACTACCTTTATTTCTAGATACCCCTGATTCACCAAGCCCAGGAGCTGGCCAAGCGCCATGTTTCACTCTTTGCCAGTCCCTGGACATCACCCACTTGGCTCAAGACCAATGGGAAAGTGAATGGGAAGGGCTCACTCAAGGGTCATCCAGGGGATCTCTACCACCAGACCTGGGCCAGATACTTCATCAAGTAAGGGAACAGCAGGGCCAGGGTCTGGACCAGCCTCCTCTCTTAGATACCCTGGTCCGTGTATCTTGACCTGGTTCTGCCTCCAGATCTGACTCTCCTCAGCTCATCTTCTACTTTCCAGGCCTTTCTGACTAAGGCCCCTCAGTTTTCCCCACCCAGTTGGGCCTCTTATTCCCCAGTCTTGGTCCCCTTTCTTGGCCTTTATCACTCACACTCTTTCCTCTGCCAGGTTCCTGGATGCCTATGCTGAGCACAAGTTACAGTTCTGGGCAGTGACAGCTGAGAACGAGCCTTCCGCAGGGCTCTTTAGCGGGTACCCCTTCCAGTGTCTGGGCTTCACCCCTGAACACCAGCGAGATTTCATCGCCCGTGACCTGGGTCCCATCCTCGCCAACAGTACACACCGCGATGTCCGTCTGCTCATACTGGATGACCAACGCTTGCTGCTGCCCCACTGGGCCCAGGTGGTAAGGCCCAGTGCCTCCATGGGTGCCATAGTGACCCCCAAATCCAGCATCCAAATGACTGGCTCCCAAATAGTGTCATCCCTGCCCTACCTCTTGATTCCTGGAGCACCCCGACTGGGGCCAGATGCCCAGGTGGTACTCCTGGGGTGCTGGAGGTGGTGGTGATCCCCCTCTGGATCTCCAGGGCCCCATGAATCTCCATGGTTGTCACTGTAGCCCCCTCTAGTTGTGTTCATCCCACCGTCCACTTCTTAGGACCTAGTGCCTCTTCCAGAACCCTTTGTGCAGGGCCCAGGTTCAATGGCTCTCGCTCCCCAGTACTCCTTCCTCTCCCCTGTACAGGTGCTAACGGACCCAGAGGCAGCTAAGTACATTCATGGAATTGCTGTACATTGGTACCTGGACTTTCTGGCTCCAGCAAAAGCCACCCTGGGGGAGACACACCGCCTGTTCCCCGACACCATGCTCTTTGCCTCTGAGGCCTGTGTAGGCTCCAAGTTTTGGGAGCAGAGTGTGCGGCTGGGCTCCTGGGATCGAGGGATGCAGTACAGCCACAGCATCATCACGGTGAGCCACCTCGGCCTCCCTTTCTGCACAGCACACCACCTCAGAGCCCTTGCCAGTCTCACCAAAGACTGACGGAAGGCCCCCCCTCTCCAACTTTTCCTCAGCTGATGTGTTTCATGGGGATATCATGATTACCTACGTTGCCTTCCCTTCACAGATCTGCACACCTCGTCACCCTCGTTCCAAATGCTTGGGTCTCGGGCAGTGACCTCTGCCTTGGATCTCTCAGCTTCTCTTGTGATGCCTGTATCCTCACGATCCCTCCCTCCTTAGATATTAAGGATGTAAAACAGCCCCCTCACAGCCCTGAGACACTGTCGCCTGTCTCCTCCGTGTGAGCCTTTCCTACGTTCTCTGGGGGCCCAACGTGGAGCTTGTTTCTGCCCTGTTCCTGTCCTAGAACCTCCTCTACCATGTGGTTGGCTGGACCGACTGGAACCTTGCCCTAAACCCTGAAGGGGGACCCAATTGGGTGCGTAACTTCGTTGACAGCCCCATCATCGTGGACATCACCAAGGACACATTTTACAAACAGCCCATGTTTTACCACCTTGGCCACTTCAGGTGCGTGGAGGGCGGGCACCCGACTCCACACCAAGCCTAGCGTCTCCTGCACTGGGCTTGTATTACCCTGCTTGAGGGAGCAGGAAGGTGTTTCTAAGGTGGGAACCTTGGGAGAGGCACACCCGCCCCTCTTGCACCATCTAGGCAGGAAGTGACTAGTTGGCAGTAGAGACAAAGACAACCCCTGAATGCCCGACGCTGGGGTTGGGAGGCAGGATGGCAGGGTATCCCCAGCCACATGGCTCGAGGCCTGGAGAGTTTGGAAGAGTTCTGGGGGTGGACAGTAGGGAGGATGACTGAGGGGACTGATGGGAGATGCCCTCAAGGCCAGAGGGACTAGGCCGGGGTCCCTGACACTGTCTGTTCCCACTTCAGCAAATTCATTCCTGAGGGCTCCCAGAGAGTGGGGCTGGTTGCGAGCAAGAAGAACGACTTGGACACAGTGGCACTGATGCATCCCGACGGCTCTGCAGTTGTGGTTGTGCTAAACCGGTGAGAGCAGCAGGGCCTGGGAACTGGGCTGAAGACAAGACAGTGGGCTTGGTGGGATTACACACTCAGCTTCTTCTCCCCCTAACCCCAACAGCTCCTCTAAGGATGTGCCTCTCACCATCAAGGATCCTGCCATGGGCTTCTTGGAGACTATCTCACCTGGCTATTCCATTCATACCTACCTGTGGCGTCGCCAGTGATGGAGCAGATACCCAAGCAGGAGCCTGGGCTCAGAATGGACATTAAAGGGACAGAGTCAGTTCACATGCTATCTGTGGCTAAAGAGCGTACGGCAGGGCTGGGGGGAGCTTAAATGACGTAAGCCCAGAGGCAGTGGTTTGGGTGACTCACTCTCCCCTCTAGTTGGTGCCAGCGGGCTGGAGGCCCCTAGGGAAAGGATTGGGAAGCCCCAGTGGTCCCCCACCCCCATGCTTGTGTGAGCGTGTGCTGTGCGCTGGTTGCCTGTGGAAACTGGGCCCGGGCCCAGAGTGAGCTCACTGTCTGTACAAACAGAGGGTGGGTGGGGGGGCGGCGGCGAGAGAGGTTAAGGAAAGGAAGAGACTAGGAAAGCTGGACCCAAAACTGGGAACTGTTTGTCTTTCTTGGAGATGCAGGACCGGGCTCATGTAGATGTCAGCATCAGGGCACAGGCAGCAAAAGAAGCCAAGCGCCAAGTGGGTAGATTCAAGCACCCAGATGGGCCCACCAGCACCAGCTAGGAGAAGTGGCAGCCCCTTAAAGGAGAGAATGTCTGACCCCAGTCAGTGTGAGCAGGTTTATTCTGGGGGTGGCACCCCATTTCCAGCCATCCCAATGATGGGGAAACATGGGGCCTCTGGAATGCATCACAGTAGAAAAATCAGTCCTGGGAGCATGAGGACGAATCATTCCTCTTCATCCTCCTCAGCCATGCCCAGGGCCCGTGTGCCTGGGGCTCGGGCAGGCGGTGCCCGCTGGATGGAAACAATGCCACTGAGCAAGGCGTAGCCTGCCATGGCTGCCAGACCTGCCAACACAGATAGGATCTGGTTCCGGCGCCGGTATGGTTCCTCCTCATTCTCCGGGCTCGCTGGTGTCTGGTGTGGAGGTGGCACCTCAGCTGAGGGGCAAGAAGGGAAGGTGGGCTCGGGGGCTGGCTCCTGGATCCTTGCCCATTTCTCCCCAGGGCTAGCACCAAGCCTCCACCATCTGTCCGTTACCTCCCTCCCAGGGGAAGTAGAGGCTGAGGATGTGGGTGCAGTAGGCACAGAGGTTGTGCAGCCCCCGCAGGTGTGCCTGCAGCTTCCCACTGGGCAGCTTCGCCTGCTGCAGCAGGGCCAGGTAGCTGAAGACAAAGGCGTCCAGGGAGGCAGGGCTGCAGCAGAGAGAAGGGTGGGATGGAGAAGGGGGAGAGATGGAGTGGGAGGAAGAGTTGGCCCTGAGAGTGGGGCTCTGGGCAGCCGGGGGCCACCGGGGGAGGAGAGGACACAGTTCTGGACGTGGTGTGGGGAGGGCGCCCCAGGTGGCGCCAGGCTGGCCTTGAATGGGACTCTATCCCAGGGCTGCATAAAGGGCACATTGAGTGCCCCACAGCCCTGCAGGCCCCTCCTGGACCTGGCAGCCCTCCCACCCTCCCTGTACCACTGAGGCGGCTCAGGCCCCACACATAGCCCCACTGTCATCAGACCCAGTGTCTGTCCTGAGCCTGAGGACCTTGTGTGCACAACCTGATCCCACCCCAGCCCCTGTGGCTACATCTGAACCTGTCTCTTCTTCCAAGCCACCTATGATTCCCCTGGAGTCAGACTCACGCATCTCCAAAGAAGAATTTCTGAGAGCCCAGGCGCTGAGAGAGAAGGGTCAGGCATTCCCGAGCCTCTTGGTACAGCTACAGGGAAGACACAAGGTAGGCTTGCGGCTGCGGGAACAGCGCCGCCACCTCTCCCAGGCAGTCCCATTCCTGGCTGTCATCCTTGGGGCTCGTCTCATACAACAGCCCCCTGTCCCAGGTACCTCCTTCTCCAGCTCTTCCTCATCCTCAGGCCTGTGCTCCCCACACAGCAGCTGCAGCCGCTCCATGTACTGCCGCTGCATGCGGCCAGGGAGGAAGAAGTTGAGGGGAAAGGGCATAGCCTCTGCGTACCACTTCCGGGTCACTTCCACATAGTTCTTGGCGTCTACCCAAAAAGTGTGTATCTGGATTAGGTATGGAGGAAGGAAGAGGCAGTCTGAGCCAGTGCACCTGCCTGACTCGGGGTGGGCTTCTGACCCCCACGCTGCTCCAAGCCTGTGTGTGTGTATGGGGTGTCTGTGTGTATGCCTCACCCCCTCCCCTGCTGGCCATTCATGCTGGGAGGTCTGTGCACACTCACCAGCACCGGGAGCAGCTTCTCCTCTAGCAGAGACATGAAGGCCAAGGTGTCTGCCCCTTGCCGGGCTGACAGATCATAATCAGCATTGTACTTCTGTGGAAGAAACATTCACTGTGAGGTGGATGCTGGGGGACCCCAGGGACACTTCCCCAAGGACGGAGGCCTCCTGTCTGCCACCACCCACACTGACCTCTGAGTGTAGCAGAGGTAGAGCAAGGAGCTTTTCTCGCTGAGGCCCCCTCGCCTGGGCCCAGTCAGTAGCCTGTTGCTGTTGGCGGGAAGCCTGGACCTTGGAGCCTGCTGGCCGTCAAGGTCCTGCGCCCACTGGGGGGAGGAAGGAAGGCCCAGCCGCAAACCAGGAGCAGCTCCCAGAGTTTCCACGGAAAGCTGGCAGGATGCCTGCTGACGGCAACTTTCTAACAGTAACTTCCCCGATCCAGACACCACAAAACTAACAAAGTGGAGCCCAGATGCAGGTTGGGCCTCAGTCAAGCCTCAGGAACTAGGGGATGCCATCCTCATGCTCCTGGGACCCAGTGAACCCATGTCTAGGGCCCCCTGGCTTGCTTTCCCAAAGCCCAGCTCTTGGCTGTTTCTTCTATTTCATTCCATGGCCCAGGCGCCACCACCACCACACACACATTCCAACCATACCCCCAGGTCTCGGCCTGCCACACCTTCCTAGGCCCTAATGTCTGTTCCTCGGCACCCTCCTTCATATCCTGAATAGACTTTGTCCCCAAATAACCTTTCGAGAATCCTTAAATCTCTCTGAGCCTCAATTTCTCCCCTGCAGAATGGGGGTAATAATCTCTCTCAATGTGACTCTGTTAGGAGAAAGCTCTTTGGAAACTGAAAAAGCTATGGTCATATATAAGGAAACAGTGGCCCAGCCCCAGCCAGGAACTTTGGCTTTTACCTGAATTCCCTCTCTCCATGTCTCTCAAGCCTCCATTAACTCCCTAGTTCCTCCACCTTTGAGAAAGTAGAAATGAAGAAGAGGGTTCCCCCTTCTGACAACGTGTTCTCTTTTGGAACCAAGCTAGAGGAGCCCTTGGAAAGCATTCTGGCTGAGCCCCCTACTTTTGCAAGTAAGGAGTTTACAGCTCTGAGAGGTTAAGCAACTTGTGCAAGGTCACACAGCCAACGACAGAGTGAAAAACATAGCCTAGGCCTCCCCATTCCTCTTGGAAAGCTCTTTCAATTCCCCCCACCCTAACCCTAGCTCTTAGCCTTGTCTACCCTGAGCCCCATATTCAGCCAAACCCAGTCCCTGAAAAAAGGGCAACAGCCCTTAGAAATCTCCCTCTGGTCCCATCTTTGAGGGCCTCATCTGAGCCAGCTGTTCTCTCCTACTCTCTTTTCCCTTCCGTGTGTTATCAGCCCATTCATCTCTCCCTTCCTCACCCAGAAGGCATAAGGCGCTGTGTCTCTGGATGCCCCCACAGTGCCTCAGTTTAATCTCTAGCCTTTGACTTACTACCTCACAGCAACATTGTCTGTGTCCTTGAAACTCTGGGTCACCTGCGTCTAGTCTGGCATATACTTGGTGCTCAATAAATGTGTGTTGCCCTGAATTGACTGAACTTCTCTCACTGGCAGCCCCCCTACCCAAGCCACCTACCTCTTTTCGAAGGTGGGTGATGATCTTGTGTGGTACTGAGATGACCTCTCCATGACTGGTCCGAAGGGCAGGCAGAGTTCCTGACATTGAGAAAGAAGTGTGTCCACCAGACCCTTAGCTGCCTATCCATACATAATTGCACCACATTCCTGTCTGTCTCCTGCTCTTCCCCTTGTACACTCCTTCCTCACCCCCCCAGGGACACTGGGTACCTGAAGGGCTCCGCCAGGGGTTGGTGATCTTGTGCACTTTGAGTGGGGCACCAGTAAATCTGGCATAAGTCTGCAGGGAAGGAAGCAGAAGGCAGAGGCCAGGGACATGGCCCCCACAGGGGAATCAGGAAAAGAAATAACATTTATTTAATACCGTCTGTGCTATGTTCTATGCTTAGTAATTGCCTCACAAAAAAAGAGGTAGACATTACTGTTCCCATTTTACAATGGGCAACACAGGGCTCAGAGAGGTGATGGACATGTCCAGGATTACAAGTCAGCCAAGGAAATCCTTCCCTCTATCTTTTCCTGCCATCTACCTGGTGAACACCTAGCCTCCCCTCATTTGGAAGCACTAACCATGCCCATCCTTGGCAGGCTCTATGGCCTTTTCCTACTTATACCATAACACCTGAAAATTTTATTACATTTATTTGCTGACATGTCTACCTTTCTGTAGACAACTCCAGGGGAACAATCAAGTGCTATTCATCTTTGCATACCAACATTTGGTACATGCTTGTTAAATAAAATAGTGAGTGAATGAGTGAACTAGTCTGACTCCAAAGCTCTTTCTACAGAGCCTGGCTGTGGGCCTTTTGGTTCAATAAACAATAACCTCAGTAAAAATGTTAAGTGAAAGGGAGGAAAGGGAAACTGAAAAGGCAGCAACGCCAAGCCGGAGAATCCTGAGATGGTCCAGCCTTAGTAAATCTCCGGATAAACAAACAGCGCCCAGGGAGAAGGGATCGCCCCAAGGTCACACAGCCAATAAATGGATGTGCAAGGACTAAAACCCATCTCCTGAACCCGTGACTAGGCCTCTTTCTATTGCTAAACAAACCCTAGGCTGCTATGGCACAGGACATTGAGCCCACACAGGCCAGGCACGTTGATTGCCTCACTTTCCCCCACTAAGCCTGTGCTGAGGCGCCCTGACAAAATTCGGAAGATCGGCTAGTCCAGGACCCCTCCCCAGTCCACCAGGGCGTAGCAAAGGGCGCCGGCGCCATCCCTCACCAGCACGGCCAAGCTGTCCAGGTCCACTGAAGGCAGCCCCCAGCCCCTTGACCAGCAGAACAGCTCCATGGGCGCCGCCATCTTGCCCGCCCTCTGTCCCGGAAGCACCTCCCTCTGCGCTTCAACCCTCCACCGCGCGGGATCCGCCCCCCCGGCCCATCCCAGCCCGCTGGCGGTGGGGGAGGCCCGGGGGGACGGGCCCCCCCGAGGGAAGGGCCGGCCGGGCCGTTTGGTCCC